GTGATTGAAATGTGAGGGCAAAATGGTTTGAATTTTTATGCACGTGTTTGGACATTTTCTGTTCATAAAAAAAAATGGAATTAAAAGATGATGATTTAGATTCAATATTCATAAGTGTAAATGAATGTCGAATGCTCATCAACTTGAGAAAGTAATATTTCATCGTCAATTAAAGATTGTGAGAAATTTTTTCATTAAAATTTGGCATCGAGAGCGGCAAATATATAAATGAAAAATTTGAAAGTGTATGTCAATTCAGGTCTATTAACAACATGGTAATATTTAATAATTGTTTCCCAAACAATATTTCAATTATAATTTCAAAATTACTTCAAGAAACCTATGAAAGGTACGAAGTCCTCTTTTATAAAGATGAATAAAAATAACCAATAACCGATCAGAAGGATAATAACAAAAAAAACAATAATTGAAAAAATCTTTCCATTAGAGAGATAGGAAATTTTTCTATTGCACTTTTACTATCACCAAGTTTCTGCCGAATATCCCCAAAACTCTCGCCTACATGCAGGGCATCATGGGCCCGAAGGGGGTGCAGCCATAAACTTTATGGCTTGGGACAATTTTGCCTAATGGAGGTTGGGAGCTGGAGTAGCTCCAAGAGCTGAGGTTGCCCACCTCTGATCTATGTTATTAATTTAAAAATAAACTTACGGCCCGGTTGGAGTATCTGATTAGCTCGTATACATATTTTTTTCATGTTTTTTTATCTCAAACGGTAGGCTGAAAAAATATATTATAAAGTCCGTGCTTCTCAGTTGAGATGGTAAGGTAATTGTAGAAAAGCACAACCCTGGCGGACCATTCGATAGGGTGGAATCGAGTTGTGAACTGAGTCGATAGGTGTTCGAGATTGAGTCGATGGTAATGTAGATCCACATTTTATCGATAGAGTGAATCGAGTTGTGCACTGAGTTGATTCACTCTATCGAGGGCCTATCGAGTAGATCTGGGATGGTCCGCCAGGGAAGTTGCACATGTCTCATTCGATTGAGCAGGGTGAAGAGAAGAGGGCTCAAAAAGTAAATCATTTCCTGAGGGATTCAGGGGATATTATTTTGGAAAGTAGTTCTCTGGGAAATTTTTAATTATTTTATATATTTTTTCAATCATAATCTCTTTACGTCATAAAAGAATAAATACTAAATAAAACAATACATAAAACAATGATAAAAAATAAGAAGAAAGAACTATCCATACGAAATAATCAGATAGTTCAACCGTGACTTAACTTAAAAAATAAAAATCATGATTGTACAAAATTTTCATAGTATGGTTAAGCAACCAGTGGCCCGTACTACGTATAGAATTTTTTTGTCAAATGGCATAATTTTACCCGCATGATGCACCAAAAATCTGTCGTCATACGATAAATTTATGACACTTATGCACTCATCCGTTATTCAACAAAGATATGCCAATGTTTTTTTATTTCAAACTTCATATACAGGAATAAGGTTGATAAAAAATAAAAAATATATATACTTCGTCACTGGCTTGGCAAGTATTTATTAAAATTTAACCCATTTAATAGAGTGTATGGAACAGTTCTTTCATATACATCATCATCTATTTGTAATCTACTTATGTTCATAATGTTTTATTTTTTCTCCTCTTTTATTATAAAATATGTATAATATTTACACAAATCAATAGCGTTTGATAGAAATTATTACTTCATTCATGAATAGAAACATTCATTCTATACTGAATTATCTGTTTTCACAGTCCTCTTCTGTTCTTTTTCGTATAAAATATTTTTCCGATACTGACAGCAATTAAATGGCAATAGTTGAATGCACTGTCCAATTGTTAATTAATTCTAGAAATAATCATGATTGAAGAAGAACAGTAAGCACATTTTTAGTAGCAATTGCAAACTCACATTGTATTATAAATTTTAATTCTCATATATGAACAATATATCACGTACATCATTAAAATTATTCTTTTTCTGTTATAATACATCATGTTTTCCCTCATTAAAATAATTACGTCATCGTTTACTGCATTCATTATCTGTAGACGTAGTTCACGGCTTCCATATTTTTTCCTACGCATATTAACATTTCTTCCTGCTCGTGTTATACATAATCTGATGGAAGTTATCAGTTCATTGTTTACTGACATTGATTTGAAATTGTTACAAAACTTCTCATAATTTATTACAAAGGAATGCTTTGGCATTCCTTGATTGTGAAAATTAAGCGTAATTAAAAAGGAGTAAACCTATCGCTATTTATTGATCAACCGAAGTTGGTAAAGTGCCTCATTAATTTGAGAACTATATTTATTGAATTTTCAATTTTTTTTATTTAATTGGCAATAACCGTGCGTTTCTCGCTGTAATTATATGGTACTTGTGACGACGAGGATTTTCACTCGATTGAAAGAAGAGTCCAATGTCACCATTGCAATGCAATGCAATGCAATTAATGACCTGATTGATAGATAAAAAGATCAGAGAATTAAACATAATAAGTTGAGTGTGTACATCATGATCCATCGAATTTTCTCCTATATTTAATTTATACACGATTAACAAAAATGGATTCAATGATTACATGTTATTGCTTGCAATTTTAATTTATTGTGTTTCAAGTTATCTTCCTCATCATATACTCATTGTTTGCGAACGTCCGTACTACTGCCACACAAATTGCCGCATTTCTCAACGTATGTGAATACAAAATTACAAAAATATATGAGCAAAGCGACACACCCAATTGATAAATCCAAAACTAACGAACGTGAATATCAGACAAAACATGTTTCGCCGTTTTAAAATATATGTAGACATCAATAAAGAGCCTGTTAATTGAAAATGCTTCATCAATATGTTGTGGATATACATAGACCATTGGCTTTGGATACATTATAGGTGTGGCACTTCGCCCGAGAACTCTCTGTTAGGCCACTTGAAATACTTGACGACAAAACGCTGATTACGGCGAACTGAGGTTTCTGTTCAGGATTACTCTCAGTGTGTGCTTCAAGAGAAAGCTTTGGCTTGATGGGCGATGGTTCAGGGGGGGGGGGGGGGGGGTTAATGTCATCAGAGGAGAGGAGATAGAAGATTGAAAGATAAAATCAAAGGGAGAGGGTGAGTGATAGAATCGAACAACTTGGCAGAGGGCTGCAGGCGCATTGAAGTCCAACGCACAATGACACTACACCATCAACAGTTAACATTCAATTTACGTTTGTCCCTTAATTACGTGACCATGCTCTGTTATGCTTTCATGCTTTGCCTCCTCGAACTAACTGACAATTTATTGACAAAAGCTGCGGCAGTGATTTGACACTTCTCTGTGGAATGCTATCGAATTAGGGGTGATCGAATTGCTCAACTTAACGAAAGGAGGCTGGGCGGCATTTCCTCTGCAAACAGTGAACTCATTCATTTAAAAGTCTTTGTGCCAGGGTTTAGAAAGTATTCTCAATATTTTTTTAATTGTAGAGGATTCTATAAACTACAAAAGACCTTCTTTCATTTTTCCTCGTAACCTTGAACGAAAAAAAGATTCAGGAAAAAATTATACGAGATTTCTCTCTGTTCAGGATGTTCTTCACCTATATAGTGCAGGGTGACCAGACGGCGATTTTTGCCAAACATTTCTATTGATTTTTCCAGAGGAGGGTACATCATAATAAGCTCTGAATGAAATATCAACTATGTGGTTCGAAAAGTGTCAATTCTTCGCGTGGTTGACTTCACTCGATTAACTGTGACTGTAACAAATCAAAAACACATTTTGAAAAAAACCGCTATCTGGCAACTCTGATATATTGTTAAAATTCACATTCAAAATTTTTTTTGGCAAATCATCGATGCAATTGATTAAAAAAAATCTAATGGTTTTGTGTTTTGTCATTCTTTAATGACGCACGAAGTTTTATGGTTGTGCGATCATTTTCATGCATTTTTTCTACAACTTCGTAATTTTTCAAAAAAGTTTAGAAAAACCGCAGAAAAATTTTCGCACTACCTTAAAACTTTGTGAGTCATGAAATAATAACAAAACGCAAAAACCTTATCGTTTTTTATGTCAATCTCATAGTACGTTTGCCAGAAAAATGAAAGAACGTTCTTTTTGACTACAAATGAGTGTAGGACAACTTTAAAGCTTTCGTCATCTACAAAAAGGATGCTCGATATTTTTCTCCAGTAATAGTCGTAAAATTGTCGAAATTGATAAATTTTTAAATTTAGTGCATATTATCATTCAGGTAGTGTTCCGTTATGGTTGATAAGTGAGCATCAATTGGAACTAAATTAATCATGATGTCATTTTCTTCTAGTCATACATTTTTGGGCATTAATTCAGATCGAATAAATAATCACATTAGTTTACCATTATTTCCCGCATTCAACTAGAACGTTTTACAAATCGAGAAATTCAAGACAAGAGAGAATAAGGAAATAGAGCGTGTGACCGCAACAAGTTGTCACAATGGAAAATCCTCGTCGGAATGCAGAATCCTAGTAGCGTTAAGCGCCGTGGATAAAACTCAGCCACATCGTAGCTCTCTAGTGGATTTCGTTATTACCAATTCCTCATAAATTTACATTTGAATAAGCCATTTGAAGAAAAATTCTTAAAAACAAGTTTTAATTCATCCAATAACTCGACGCAAAAAAATTCAGCCTATTTGTTCGTGGCAAAGAATATTTTCCCTGTATCATAAACAAAGCACAACGATTAGAAAATTCGCTTAATGAAAAAAGGCTCTAACTCTATCGCCTTATTAGCTATGATTTAATTCACATTATTATGAATAAATACACGCGCATTTTCTATCACACGGCGGACTTCAATTAATTTACTGGTCATCACCATTTTATCGATTTGTCAAATAATATCTATTTGGTACAATGTCTATCATATGATTAGCTCATATCTTCTTTTGACCGGAGAAAATCCTTGTCCACCTTTCATTGAAGAAAAAATAATCGTAGATGCGGCAAAATTATGAATTCATTTACTAAACACCTATTATATCTCTAATCTTGATTGACTATTGGTCGTGTCTCCATTAGTGTTTGTTATCTACAAACACAAATCCTATCAATCACTTCAAATGTTACTACAAAATGACATGGTTTTGTATGTGCTAAACACGGAAACTAAACATAAATCAATTTATCGTGAATAATTAGGTTGATAAAACGTAATGACCCCAATATTATTGTCAATTATGCATTCATGTCGTTGATCATCAATTTTAAAATGAATTACAAACAGTCTCGTCGAATCGTCTGTTCACCACATGACCATCATAATTTCATATATAACTAAACTAAAGGCATTTAATCAGAAAAATGGAAAAAAATTAAACTGAAAGTAAAAAATAAATTACCGAGAGATACAGTAATAAGTAATTGTCAATTAATGATCTTCACTAATTTTCAATAATTATCATCTCAAAGTTTTTTCTCGCCGCTGAGCAGCCATCAGCTATCGTCGTTTATTAATTTCCAGCGTCTAAGGCACAAACCGGTTTATTCAATACCATGACCTCTCCTATTCCCCAAAGTCACCATCAAACTTCAGTACCATCCTCGCCCTCGTCCTCGTATAGTGGTCCATTGTCTACTTTTTTCTTCGGTTTGGGTGGTGGCCTAGGAGGTACCTTCCTCCCCAGTGTCCCTCCATTATTGCCAGTTTCGGTTCTAGCTCTGTTCTCTCCCTCGTCCATCTTGGTTGACCACTCAACAGCACCCTCAGGTGCTGATCTGTCCAGTGCGCTTCCAGCTAGTATATTCGGTGTGCTACGTTGTATTGAATTAAACAAATTGGTCGGTGTGATAGGTAATGGTCTCATCCTCATTGATGCACCAGGTTCAGGGCTCTTATTTAACGAGACAACCGAACTTCCATCAGCAGTCGTTCGTCTTCCAAGATTATCATAAACTGGCTCAACCCCTCCATCCAGAACACCTACAGGTGAGGTAGGTGGTCCACTGCTCCAACTGGGTGCTCTTGGTCTTCTTGGTATAGTTACGTATCCATGACGAGGCAACACTGGTATCGGTGAATTGTAAGAGGCACTCCCACTTCGATTGTGGGGTAGCGTTTTAAACGACGTTGGATATTGCCCAGATGATGGCGAACCGTATTGACTACTATGGCGCGGTGTGTCTTGGGCGGTTGATGATTGACTCGTTGGTGATGAGCCTCGACCACCCGAGAATGCTAATAGATCTGGTGGATACTGACGATAATTGTTAGTACGGATTAGCATATCATGATCTGGTGTTGAACGACCTTGGTCCTCCTCAATCGTACCACCGAACACACCAACTATACTTCCTGGATTGTCAGCTGTGGGAAAAATTGAAAAAACACCAATATTATGAAAATAAATGAATAAATAAATAAATAAATAAATAATTTCGTCTTATTCATGCAATTTCAATGGGAATATGCAGATGTAAATTATACAATATTTTAGGCAGCCTAGAATATAAAATTTCATAAATCAGTAAGTGTAATATTAACTTCGGGGATGTTATTACAAAGCTACTAAATTGCAAACTTAAATATTTAAAGAATCGCGAATAAATCATTCAAGTAGTGCCATCCTATTTTCAACATCAATACTGTCATGACAAATAAACAGAATTGACATTAATGACTGCACGAAGAATTAATTTGTCAAGAAGGTAAATCAATTTCTCTTTTTCTTAATTTAATCATTATTTACTTGGCTTAGTCTTACATTATTTCCATATTGCTTTACTGGGAATGGCTGCATGGGTACAAAGAGGGTTTCAAAGTTCTATTGTTTCTGTCACTGAATCAGACTTATTTTTCCCGTTTTCTTGAGGCACTTTACCATCTATTTGGAATGGAAGTAAAAAGAAGGAATATACAAAAGTGTGACAGGGCCAATCTCTATAATATTATTCGATTGAGTACTATCTCAGTTATTTACATCGCTTTTTCATCTTAACTCTGTGCACACAATTCTTTCCTATTTATTTTGCTCTTTTTCTTGTTGACCTACCTATACTCTTAAGTAGTCAAGTGAGCCCAGCACAATAAGTCTCCACTAGCCGCCCTTCGAAAACTTGCAATAATTCACCATGATTCCTACTTAAACTTTAATTGTACTCTCTCTATTTTTCATTTCAATTTCCTGCGTGTCTTTGTCTATAATTTTTCATTGTCATAATTTATGAAAATCAAAAATAGCTAAATATTTTTATGTTTCCTTCTATATTTCACACGACTATGCATATATTGTTGTGAACCCATAAAGTACGGCCATTGTCGAAAATTTCTTATTTTTATATTATGTACATCTCCGTTGGCTTCAACGCACCATACATTTTTCAATTGAAAAACTGATGTAACATAGAGGCTATTGGGGCATGTTGCGATTTGGCAGGACAAATGAAAACGTAATTTTGTATAAAATTACCGCCTACCATTTTACCCCAGAACTACCCAGTGAACAATGCTTCGAGTTTTTGATAAGTTCGAGTTTTTCCGTGTCAAGTTCTCGAATGCTGCTGTCTAGGCACTTCTTCCCAAGATATACGTTTCATTAGTAAAATTCAATGATTATTGTTTTTTACCCATGAATTACTTCACGACTTCAAAAATGTAAAAATCTAATTCATTCACTTGTAAATTAATAAATTCAATGAATTTAATAGTGATTTGAAAATCAATGATATTTTCCTAAATGCCTAAATAATACCCTCTATAAACTTAAAAATAAAATGACAAATCTGCCAATTATTTAACAACGCATTGTCTCGTAATAAAGGCAGTGTACTGACCGAAGACAGAATCGTTGTCAAGTAGCGTGCGATTGAGCTCAGTCATCTCAGTACCATGGGACGTAACAGATGGTGCTTCGTATCTCCTCGGTGGTTTAACCACTGGATTAATTGCCGTAATGAGTGACTTTTCCTGTTCACCCAAGCCATGATGCTCTAACGACGTAATATCAGCACTATTTTTTTCATCATGTCGTATACGTTTTCTCCTGCAATACCATGCACACAATGTCATGAGAAACAACAGTAAAAGTAATAATGTCACACCCAGACCAAGTGCTAGTGACAAACTTATTGGTCCAATTTTACTACTCTCATTATCTCCGAGGATCGTAACACTTATGTTTCTTTCAACACTACCACCAGGGCTCTTGGCAATGCATATGTAATCACCCTTGTCAGCAATTAATACATATGGTATTGTGACATTCAGCCATTCGTGGCGTTCAGTTAATAAATAACTTCGGTCAGCTGTTTGCCGCTTGGTCGAATTACTTATTACACGGGAACGATGTACCCAGGATAATTGAGGAGGTGGTATACCAGCTGCATGACACCACATTGTAACAGTATCTCCAGTTATAATTTCTAGATGAGTGTGAGGACCTATGGATATGATTTTAGGACTACAAGCAAATTCATCGGTATCCACTTCATTCCACATTTTTCCTGCTAGCGTAGATGGTTGGCTGCATTTAGTTGGTTCTGTATAAAGTTTGCGTTCGATAGTCCAATTGCGAAATCTTTTAAGGTGACAATTGCAATTCCAATGATTATTTTGCAGCTCTAGACTACCAAGCTTGGGGAGATTCTCGAAGGTTGCGAGTTTAACTGTTGTTAAGTTGTTACCATCGAGTGCGAGGCTGTGTAAACCTGGAAGCTTTTCGAAAGTCTTCTCCGAGATTCGTTGCAGCCTATTGTTAGAGAGCTCGATTTTTTGGAGGAATTCGAGGTCGTGGAATAGGCCGTTTTCCAGACTCTCCAGTTGATTGTGATTTAGCAAGAGGACCCGTAAGCGTTGAGTTTCCATGAAAGTTCCTGGGAGGAGGTTCTTGAGATGATTACCCGAGAGATCCAGCTCAATGACGATCTTCAAGCCGTTGAAGGCTGCTGTGTCAATGGCTCTCACACCACAGTCTCGCATGATCAGTTTATGCAGATTCACAAGGCCTACTCGGCTGAATACACCCGCTGATAAGTGGCTAATTCGGTTGCCTGTTAGGTCCAGATTCTGAATCTCTGAAGATAAATAGGTGGGAATGTGCGTGAAGTTAGAACGTACGCAATCTGCAGTTTTTTTACCGGAGACCCATTTACACTTGCAGGGGGCTTTGCATTCCCACGATTCTTGACCTTTGGTTATCAGAAATATTAGGCCCAAGCAGAGCAGACGAGTAGTTATACGTCCCATGGTTCAACTGAAACAAAAGGAAGGGAGGAACAAATTAATTCAATGAAACATTTACAGGATATATGCATGAATTTAAATTAGTCTATGTTATTGGAATTTTCTCTGCGTTAGAAAAATCTTCAGTACATATTAAAATAGGCGTATCACTAAGAGGGGGCGAATGTTCGTTTTTTAAATTTTTTTCATAAAATGACTTTAGAAAATCAGTAAGAATTCTCTTTCTTATAAGTTTTATGGACGAAAATAAATTTCACTTCCAAAAATGTTGATGCAAAAGGTTGTAAATTTCTGCAGCTTTAGTCAGATTATAAAATATTAAAAATCGTACCTGTAATTGCCAAAAATTAATGTCTTTTGGGGAAAACGAGAATTTTTCAATGATTTTGTAACTATCTCATTACTTTCAGTTGTAAAAGAAGTCTTCTTAATAAGTGCTGCTCAAGCGTTTCGATATTCGCAACGTTTATGGGTCACACTTTTCCTTCCCTCAAGACTTCATCAAAGAACATGAATCTCACATTTCAAAAGTCTCAATGAGAAAACTCCCTGATCCTTTTAGAAATAAAATTTGCTAATAGTACACGTGGCGGGACATCTTACTCTGAACCAATTTTTGAGAAATTAATAAACAGATTCAGAATAAATTGTAATTCAAGAATTCTTCTACTAAAAGAGTTATCCTTAAATACTGACGGTAGTGGCCGTGCGGTTAGAGTGCTAGACTAGCATGCCAACGATCCGGGTTCGATCCCGGGCACCGGCGGTCAAAATTTATAGCGCTCTAATCTCACAATTTCACTGTCGAGCGGTAGTCCTGTCAAAAGGACGACTGTACCAGGGCAGGTTTTTCCCCTCGAATGAGGTTTTTCCCTCCCTTCGGCAAATGCGATACAGGGGGTTGGGGGGTGGGAAGGGAACAAATCGTAAAGACCCGAAAGGGTATACAGGAGGAAAAAGTTTTTTTAAAAGAAAAAGAGTTATCCTTAAATACCTCTGAATAAAATGAAATATGAAGATCTGATTTTAGTAATTTACAATTAAGTAGTGTGGAATTAATACTAGAGGAAGGTTCAATACAAGGTCACACCTCTGAAATTCATTAAAACAACAACAATACAATACTTGAAGAAGCATTCTTAAAAGCATTATTTTTTTTTAGTCTTAAACGCTATTTAAAACCGTTTTGAAAATTGTTTCAGTATATATTACAATACCAACAATAGCGCCAATGAGCAGGAGGCTCAAACAGAAAACCGTGAGGAATCTCATTAATCTCTCTAATAGTCGCACAAATCGGATCTATCTACATATCCTTATGACGATAAAAATGCTAGACGTATCCTTTTTGTCCCATTGTACCACTGTCTTAGAAATCCCTAGTTCATTCTTTTGAATTCTGATATCCTAGAAACTTCTCATTCAAACGCGAAAGGTATTTCAAATATTTATTTCAACTATCTACTTACTGATTGACTCTATATAGAAGAAATAAGAAAATTCCTCAGCTCTGATGAATTCCTTCAATTCCGACATATTGTTTCCGGGACAAAAGTAAATAAACAACACTTTTATTTCCCTCCTCTTCCACTTCGAATATCGGTGTAAGAGAAAAGCCTATGCTGCCGATAAGGTGAGCCAGGGAGTCGGAGATACAAAACCCAGTATTCGCTGTGTATTGATTCTCACCCATTTGAATTTTAAATTTGCAGCAATGCCAGTTGGATGTGCATTGAATAATCGCAAATAGTACCTTTCGCAATGTCTAACAAAAAGTTTCATTAACATAAGAAAGGAAGAACTAACCGATCAGGGTGTTTTCAAAGTCACTCATATTTTTTCTATGCCATTTCTCTTTCACAAAGTCATCCTATCATATTCGTTTAAGGGTGGTGTAGATCTGTTGGGTGCGTAATCGTGTTCTCAAGATACTTTGAGGACATGTGGATGATACTCTCTAGAGGAATGAATGAATTGTCCTCACTGAAATTTGCTCATACCCACAAAATTTGACATTTTCCAGAGTTTGATCTATGCATTTGAGTGAAATATAACATGAGCTATTAATTATAGCATTTGTTGGCGATACTTTCATATATTTGTTGATTATAAAAGAATTTAAAAAATATGATATTGTAGAAAAAACGAATTTTGAGAATCATTCTACTATAACCGATAATGAACAAATTATCCAGACATTGTCATTTTCATTTAAACCGACTTTTAGATAACCGTACAAACTTTTGTAACCCTCCCAATCAATATTGAAAAATATGACTCGGCAATTATTTCCCGTTTCAATATTTTATTTATCACTTTATGCGCGTCGAGGATTCTAGCCGAATGGTGTTAAATTCCCCGCCATGCTAATCCAACTGTGACGTTGCAAAACACTTCCGACACGCTTGCTTTTTCAAGATTTTTATGGGTTGTCCTTTTCACACGTATATGGTCAATATCACCAAAATGGAAAAATATACACACACATTTACATTTACAAACTCGTAATGTACGGGATAAGAAATCTCGTAAATTACCTTCTAAATCTCGTTTTTAGGTAGAGTGTTTTCTGTGTAAATAGCCTTGAATTGTAGAGCTGTCAATGGTAAAAATCTGTTTTATTCAAAATTTTTCATCCAAAAATTAACGGATCAGGGTGTTTTCGAAGCCATTCATATTTTTCCTATGCGGTTTCTTGTCCACAACGTTATCCTATCACATTCGTTTAAAGGTAAATATATAATTGTACTAAAATGAGTGAAGACGGTGATTTTCTCATAGGGTGATCAGTCTAGGGTTGAATACGTCTCGGTTTTTAGAAGATAGTACTAATGTACTATGAGGATACATCGAAAAAAAAATTTTAAGCATGCATATTTTATACTCGTTATACGTGTTTTAAGTGCTATATACTTTACTTATTATACCATTTTATACAATTTTATATATCATAACCTCTATATTGAAATTAAGTATAAAATATATTGGACCCAAGTATTAATTTTTGTCCGTGCAATAAGCGACAGTTTGCAGAGACTCTGAAGTTTAACGCACGTAGCGTCGGTATGTCACACGACTCACAACTTGTGAGTCACAAGCCAATGCTACTGACCGAATGATCCATGCTAGGTGACAGCGAGACTAGCGTTAGCTGATGGGGGGCGCGGGTATGAGGCCGCAGAAGCACGCTCCTGGGCCCTGCAGGCCTGATAGAGCAGTTTGCAACACAAAAATTATAACTGACATATAGTTTTTTTTTGCTGGCATTACGTTTTGAATATATCTTCAATGTGAGCAGGGAGATATATCTCGCACAATGCTTCTATCTGCCAAAATACATGGGACATATGTCCGGATATAAATGACATATATTTTTGCATATATCTTTTTTCCATGTGGCCCCTCCACTGTACAACAAGGAAAACACAATATAAAAAATATTGAAAAAGAAAAACATCTGGCTTACTTCATGTTCCAGGAGACATGAAAACCTGAGGTGTTTATCCACACATAACTTTTACAATTCTAGGGGCTTTAATGGAATCCACTGAAAAACAAACTTGGCCGAACATTGAGCGATGTTCTACTCAAGTTTGTTTCCATTAAAAATTGGTAAACTTGGTTGTTTATCTGATTTCCTTTATTTTTGTGACATAGAAAATTATTGAGAACGTTAATTTACGGGAATTTTTTTAAAAACTTCAGTTTTGGAATTTTCCAGTGGTTGGCGGTTAATAGAACGCTTGAAGCGACAACAGCGACAGTTGATTTCGCACATTACCAACCTATTTAAGCGACTGAACTGCTCATTATATATTGATTGATATGGTAGAAGTATAGTTAAGTCGCGATTACCAACTCGTAAAAGCCAAAAACTCACAAAGTGAGTGAAGATAATAACAATCGGAAAAGTGTGATTTTTTCGTTCATTGTAGAGGGTAATATTTTTATTGAGGCAAATAGAAGCTGAAATAAAAATACCATTACAAAATTCATCTACGAATTATTAAGACTCCGAGGACGGTTTTCGATTTCTGACTCATGGTTTCTTTATTAAAAAATGGTAAAGTTATAGTGTTAGTAGAGGGGGAAGTTGTACGATGTATAATAGACCGATACGCTTTGGCGTATCTTGATATTTGCGACAGCATCTCCAGAATGTCAACTTGGGAGATAGGCCATGGCGTATCTTGATTTACCTCGTTTTTTCCAGTTTTTACCGGTCCGGCTGCGTACGGCGCTGCTCACATCTCCCATTCACGGTACAGGAGAGCTTATATTCGGCCTCATTTACGAAATGATTACTTTGTTTATTTTCACCAACAAAAATGATTAGACAAATCAGATAGTAATGCAGGTTATACTTAAATATGATCACAAGTGAACCAAATTTTTCCAAAGATCACTGTAAGATGTCGCGCTACTCGTCACGTTCACAAATTTTCGTTCAGCTAAACGGCCGATTTGACAAATCGTTACTTAGCGTAAACACAATTTAATGCAAAGAGAACTGAAATTAAGCGATCTATTCACCATATTAGATGCACGCCAGTTGGTGCTGACATCTAAAAAAATAACGGATGTGAAGTTCGCAGATTTCAATAGATTTAGTGAATAAATAAAGTAAGATTGACCGAGACATTAAAATTTTATTTAGACGATGTGTTTGGTTATGTCTCTCTTTATAAACTTCTAATTAGCATAAAGAACATTACTAGTGACAGAATCAATATTTCTATCTGGTACATTCAATCATCAAGCAATTCCTGATGTTGTTAGACCTTAAATTACGCTTAAATAGGCTTGAAAGGACTTAAAAGTGTGCCAAGACTCCTACTATGAAACACTGAACAAGCACTCAGTTTCAACAAGGCAGTTTAAAGGTTGATTTAATCCACGATATGAATCGGTAAATTGATCAAAATAAACTCAAGTTTTTAATCTTCAGTAGAAAGTTTCTAGCTCTAACATAAGATATTTAATTCGCAGAAATGTTCAAAGTCCCATCGG